CAGACGTGTGCTCTTCCGATCTCCCCAAAACCCCAAAACCCCATCAATTAAAATACAAGAATTAAAGGGAAAAGTAAAAAAATAAAATGGACGAGTCTGATTAAGAGATCAAAACTAAACTACTAGACACTCAATTCAGTATAAACTAATCATTATTTTAAACTTGTGATTTCTAGATTCTTTTTCTTTTGACCGTTAGCAAGGTTGAATCAAAAGCAAAAATCAAAATAGAGACTCTGCAGAGGTAAAGACCTTGGATTTACTAAGGAAACAGCAGGCTGACTATAACTTTAGTGCTAATCAGTATCAGTACAATCGCTACCTGTTAAGAGACATTACACCCATCAAAGAAAAGGTAAGAAAAAGCAAGCATGCTCGGCAGGACAGTGAGAAGACCGATGACTATAACAATTTTGCCCCATGGGAGTAGAATGCTATTCAAAAGGTTCTTAAGAGTAAGAGCCCTAAAAAGAGATTTGGCAAAAATCCATCCAAATTATAAAAAATTAATGAATCGTTATCTTAAAAGGAGGAAAGCAACAAAGATGAGCAAACTAGAGAATCTAGGGAGAGAACTACTATTGATAGGGATTAATTTAGTAATTCACTTACATTAGAAGGCTCACATTTTGGAGTCCCAAAGCAACAGTATAGTGATTATGATACAAGCACTCATATGGGAAGTAGACTAAGCCATCTATACTATGGCAATTTTCAGGACAATAAAGCCAATAATTAGAAAAAATATAAGGACTAGTCGACAAGTTTTTAAGAAGAGTAATCTATATCAACAAACCCCAATATATCTACTAGTTTCGATCATGATTTAATTAATACCTATCAAACTCTCCTAGATAGATATGCGCAGAAGGATGGATCAGCATCTGGCTCAATAGCTAACAATTTCATTAGTCATGCCAATTTGCCAAAGCTAAGCATTAAATCCAATCAAGGGAGTCAAATAAATTTAATTGGAATGTTAAACACTTGACTTAAAGATAAATCACAGCACTTGTATAGTAGCTTCAAATGTAACATGAATTAATACGATATCCAGAGGTATATTGAAGTACTTGATAAGAAAAAGGAGGCTAGATATGGCAAAATGTCTTGATCATAGGACCCAAATGCAATCAAAGACATGAAGAGAACTCAATTGATAGATTAATCTACGTTCTCACAGCAATTTCAAATCCAAAATGTGCCTCCAATTATGTCAGCATTTGTTCCCTCTTCTATTCCAGATCTATCTCCAGTGAGAAGGAAAAAGAGTGTCAATAAAAAACTTGTCCCTATTGATCTAAACTCATACGATGTCATACGTTCTTAGTCTCAGCTGACAATTCCAAATAAATACACTAATAATGATAGAACCATTGTGAATCATTATGCTACTTAGGATAGCAAGCCATATCTATAAGGACTATCTTAAATAAACGAGAATAAAAGTTTGGATTAAATTGACAATATGGCTTAAATAGAGGACATCATCAACAGCACTTTTTCTCGAAAGAACAATGTTATTTATAGAAAATAGTCCTATTTGACAAAGATAAGGAGAGATAAATTGATATACTCTCGACTGCTTGATAGCACAGTCACCTGATTTATTTATAAGACTAAAACAGTGAATAGATATATTAAAGAACCCATCATTAAACTTTTCATATGTGGATAGAAAGAATTATACTTAAGTATAAATTGAATATACAAACATCTATAAATACCCAAAAAATAACAAATTTCAATAGACGGGGTTTTGGGGTTTTGGGGTTTTGGGG